TCACACCCCAAAAACATATGCATAAATAATAATAATAATAATAATAATAATAATAATAATAATAGTAATAAAAAGAAGAGTTTGAGTTTGAGCCCCTCAAAGGCCTCAAATCTACTGTGGTTTCAATATCATTTATGGGCCTTCCATTTCAGTGGATGATAGATCGAGTAGATTGCGCTTTTTGGAGCTCCAAACTAAATCAAACTTGAGATCAACTGATTCTAAGGGAATTTAAAATTGTTCTTGGTGCCCCTGCTCTTAAAATGTGGTTTTTGGGTGGAGCTCCATTTTTGGTGACCCAACCAGAGCAGGCTTTCATTTCTCTTTATGGCATTTATATAATTGGGCAGCAACTCCACCGTAGAGAAAGGAGGAGGGTTGTGTTAGGTGGGCAGCAAGGATAAAAGTTGGCCACATCGTTTCATGAATCATGAACCAATGTTATATAGCCAACCCCAAATAGTTGGAATAACGCTCAGATGATGATGATGATATAATTTGGCCACCACTAGTTAAAATAACAGTCACACAAGATCCATTAATGATGCCTTGTGCACTGTTATTGCTGGTGAAAGTAGTGGTGGGATATAAACCTTTGCTATTATTACTTGTGGTGAATTCTGAGCTACAATACCCTCCTTAATTTCAAAGTTTCAATAAGTCGGGCCTCACCCTCGATTTTTTTGGTTCCATGGGTGCCTCGAACCAATATCTATGACTTGAGGCTCTGAGAAGCATTGTAGATGTGTTCCTTAAGACCATCATACATTGTTTGAGTGAGTTTTGGTGTAACTTTGAAATTTTTGTCTGCTTATCTCAGAGAGAAGTTGAGGATAAGCTTTGGGTGATCTAGTGAGTATCAAATTTGAGAAACAGGTGTGGAAGCACATAAATAGAGATTTAAGGTTACGGTGCTTCATTTTGCATCTTTCATACGAAAGGAAACCCACACTTTTTTTCATCACCTTTGCTCAGCTAGTTGTATTTAGTATCATGTATCTTCTATTTTGATTACATACCTTACAAGGCAAGTGGTTCCCCCTGCTTACTGCATACTTTTCATTTCAAAGAGTTATCAACCCATCAGTCTGTTATTCTTATATTCCGGATTCATGAGAAATTTTGGCAAAGTTTTATGTTGGCTTCCTACATAACACAACCCACCCCTTTTACCTAAATCTAGGACAAGTTCAGAGAAATTTTAAGGTCCTCACCTCTCTTAGAGAAAATGTTAAGTAAATAGGTTGGTATAAACTTTGGTACACAAGAAAAGTTAATAATAGAAATGGTGTAAGCATAATAGTAAACAAAGATTTAGAAGATAAAGCAGTTAATGTCAAGAAAGTAAGTGATAGACTCGTATTAATTAAACTTGTATTAGAAGAAGAGATAATTAACGTAATTAGTTTTTATGCACCACAAGTAGGACTAGAAGAAACAATTTTGGGAGGGCATGGATGGACTAGAGTAAGACATACCAAATGGAGAGAGGACTTTTTAGGAGGGGACATAAATAGACATGTACAGAAGGATAATAGAAGATATGAAGGGGTACATAGGGGATATGGGAATGAGATGGTGAGGCTATTCTAGATTTTGCTATGGCCTACGACCTAGCAATAGCGAACACTTACTTAAAAAACAAGATGAACATTTAATAACTTATAAAAGTGGATCACACAAAAGCCAGAGATAGACTTCCTCCTAGTTAAGAAGATAGATCAATCATCATGTAAAAATTGTAAGGTTATCCTAGGAGAGAGTGTGATTATCGAACATAGGCTCATGGTTACGGACGTCTGCATAAAGACATGGAAGAGAAGGGTGAAATTAATAGGTGTCCAAGAACTAGGTCGTAGAATTTAAAAAATGGGATTATAGACTTATTTAGGGATAAATTAGTTAAAGAAAGAAAATAGAACTTTGAACATCAGGTCAATATTATGGGGATGAGATGGTTGACTATATTAAGAAAGTGGCAAAAGAAGCTTTAGGAGAATCTAGAGGGAAAAGAAACTCCGATAAAGAAACTTGGTTGTGGAGCATTAAAAGGCCATTAACGAAAAACAATCATGTTATAAAACTTGACAATGTAATTGAAATAATCAAAACTTAGAAAGATACAAAAAAGCTAAGAAAAATGCTAAACAAATAGTAAAGCTAAACTTATGATAATCTATATAGTAAACTGGGAACAAGAAAAGGTGAAAAAGATGTCTTCAAATTAGTAAAAAATGAGAGAGAAAAAGTATAGGGATTTAGACCGTATTAGCTGCATTAAGAGTGAGGATCAAAGGGGCCTAGTGAAGGCTGAAGAGGTCAACGAAAGGCGGAGAGTTTATTTTCAAAAATTATTAAATGATGAACACAATGGGAACATTACGGCAGAAGGAGCCATTGGCATAAATTTGGGCAAAGTTCATAGATACATTCGTAGGATTAGGATATTGGAAGTAAAAGAAGCTTTGAAAAGGAGGACAATACGAAATGCCTTCGAATTTGATAGTATTTTGATAGGGCTTTGGAAGTGCATGGGGGAGATTGGTACTGACTAGTTGACCGACCATGTTGTTCATCAAGGTGTTGAAAACAAAGAAAATGGCAAACGAATGGAAGAAAAGTATTGTGGTGCGTATATACAAGAACAAATGAGACATACGGAATTGTGCGAACTATCAAGGGATCAAACTTATGAGACACACTATGAAGCTGAGGGAGAGAGTGATTGAGCAACGACTAAGGCATGAAAAGAGTGTCTCAATAAACCAATTCATTTTTATGCCAAAGAAGTCAACAATTGATGTTATTTTCTTATTTAGGCATCTGATTGAGAAGTTTAGGGTGAAGGGAAAAGACCTCCATATGGTCTTTATTGATATAGATAAGCTTACGATTGATTATTTAGATATTTCATTTGGTGGGTGTTGGAAAAGAAAGGAGTCTTTAGACACTATATAGATTTGGTGAGAGATATGTACGAGGGAACACAAACTAGTGTACGAACAATTAGTGGAAAGACGAGTGAGTGTTCGCGACAATAGATCTACATCAGGGGTCACCATTGAGCCCATACAAGACGAGGTATCATAGTGTGTGTTGCTCGCTGATGACATTATTTTGATCGTTGGGACCCGAAACGGCATCAATACAAAGTTAGAACTTTGAAGGAGTGCTCTAGAATCTAAAGGTTTTAAAATTAGTCAGACAAAGACAGAGTAGGTGGAATGCAAGTTTAGTAATTATAGGAGTAGAGATGAGGAAGTAGTTAAGATTGATGGCCAAAAAAAAACAAAAAAGAGTGTACTTTCGACGTCTTGGGTCGCTAATTTAAGAAAATGGAGAGATTAAGGAAGATGTCGCACATAAAATTAGAGCTGGGTGGGATAAATGGAAATGTGCAACTGGAGTTTTACGTAATCGCCGAATACCAATGAAGCTGAATGGCAAGTTTTATAAGACAGCTATGAGACCACATTTACTTTATGGGGCGAAATGTTAGGAGGTTAAAAAACAACATTACCCATAGAATAAGTTAGCAGAGATGAGGATGTTGACATGGATGAGTGGCAAGACAAGAAGTTGAATACATTTGGGAGAATTTACGTGTGGTACCAATAGACGATAAGATGAGAGAAAGTAGACTTGGTGGATAGGCCATTTATGGCATAGACCTAGTAAAAGCACTTTAGGAGGTGCGAGTTAGTTTAAGTGGAAGGCTCAAAAAAGGCCAAGAGTAGGTCCAAAAAGGATATGGCTGAAAGTAGTAAGAAAAGATATGGGGACTTATGGCCTTACCGACGGTATGACTCTTAATAGAGAGCACAATGGCGGACCAAGATTCGTGTGGCCAACCCAATTAGTTGGGAATAGGCTTTGATGATGATGATTAAACCATCAACTTTTTTATCACACCCTACCGTTTACAAAGACTTTAAGACCTGTGTCTCGTGGCCAAAAGCTCACTCGAGTCTGCTCTCATTTCAAATGGCTATAGAAACTAGAGGAAATGCAATTTAATATTCTCTATCACAACATCATTTAGCAAAAACATTTTTAAGGATCGCTCTCACAAGGGCAGGTTTGCTCAAACATTTAACTACCCTACACCCTTTTCAATATTTTTAAGAATATAAGGTCAATCTGCTTTTACGCATTGATACCTATTTGCCATTTTTTATTCTTGTTTCACTTCCTTCCCCTTCCTCTTCTGCTGTTGCTTTGCTTTTTTGTTTTGACTTTTAACCAGTTCTTTCTTGTTAAAAATTAATTTTAATTCTTGACATTCATTTTGTTTATTATTTAATTTTACAAACATATGTAGTACATTGTTATAGCCGAGACCCTGATTAATTGGTAAAAGGCTAAAATGATGATGATGATTTAGTACATTGTTATCCTATAAACATTTTTTTTAGGTGGAGGGAGAAGGGCTGACAGTATCTTAATGTATATGCTTAAATATCTTAATGTATGACAGTATCATATATCCTGTAAAAAATTAGCTTTAATATCCATAAATAATACACTATTGTATGATGTATTCACTACGGGATATGCAAATTTCTTCAATTTTATGTATTATTTTTTAGTTCTTGTCTCACTTTCTTCCCCATCCTCTTCTGCTGTTGCTTTGCTTTTTTGTTTTTACTTACAAACTTTTTTTTTTTTTGGTTAAAAATTAAGTTTCAGCTTGACATTCATTGTGTTTATTATTTAATTATATATGTAAACATATATAGTACATTGTTATCGTATAAACCTTTTTTTTTTTTTTAGGGGGTTGGGGGGGGGGGAGGGGGAAGAGCTGACCGTAATGTATGTGCTTAAATATCTTAATGTATGACCGTATCATATATCTTGTAAACAATTAGGTTCATATCAGTAAATAATGCACTATTGTATGATGTATTCACTACATGGCTATGCAAATTTCTTCAGCTTTATGTATTCTTTTTAAGTAGGTTTGTGGTGTGCATTGAACCTTGGATGTTGTTCTGCAGCCTTCAGTTACCCTCACTGTCCAGCTAAGTACATGAAGCCCTTGCATATTTCCTATTTTGAAAGCATACATAGCCTGCAAGGGGAAACCTTTGCTGGAAGCAGGAAAGTAAGGTAGGTTGTATAAGAAAGGTATATTGATGCAGGAGTATGAAATACCTAAGCCATATTAAGGTAGGTTGTATAAGAAAGGTACATTGATAGGTTGTATAAGAAAGGTATATTGATGCAGGAGTATGAAATACTTAAGCCATGTTAAGGTAGGTTGTATAAGAAAGGTACATTGATGCATGAGTAGGAAATACTTATTTGGGAGCATTCAGGAAAGCCCAAAGAAAATGCATGGAAAGAAGTACTAGCTGAAACACATGGTATTATTTTCATGCTTTATGTTAGTGTAAAAAGTAGACAGCTTTATTTATACCTTCCCAAAATATATCACTATACCTGCGCATTTGGATGTACTAGTTGAAATACAAATTATTTACCTGATTTGTGTGTTGTGTATTGTCCAATTTCTACTTTCTTTAGGTATTCAAACACACCCTTAGTATTTGCCATTTTATTTTACCGCATTATGTAAGCTGAAACAATTTAAGGGTGTGTTTGAATACCTAAAGTGGAATCATCAATTGCGCTTTCTGCACTACAAGGTACTTTACAATATTTGTTTAGGGAAAGGTTTTTATACTTCCCATACTGTATAGAAAATATGTACTTCCCCCCATTCAAGTGAGCCACTTATTGTTTGATTTAGGTCCGACACCTCATAGTATTTTAGTTTTAAATTTTTCTACAAGTTATACAAATATGAAAATTTGATACGTGCGATCATCTCAATGGGCTGCACTTAAGAAAACATTAAAAGTCGATAAAAATACAATGATCAAAATACCCATGAAACTTTTAGAGGCTTTTTTATCATTTTGTTTTATTGAGAATATTTTTGATAAAATACAATGACCAAAGCAAAAATGACCTTATAAATTAGATCACATAACCACCTAACAAAATCAAATTCCTAATGGAAAAGCTTCAACTATTGTCTCACAGGCATGATCTATTGACAATAAAAACTAATAATCGTAAGTAAAAGTCAAGAATGACATTTCACGTATAATATGCACCAATTCTGATACAAGCTGCAAAGCAACCCCTCAAACAGAATATAAGACCAAAACAGATGCGACAATATTGATCACCAAGATGATGACCTGAAACCAATGGCATCAAAATCCAATGGTATTGCCTTAAGATGATTTGGGGCGCCCATCGTACTCTATATGGATTGATTGATGCAATAAATCTAAATTTCAATCTCAGGGAAGCCATAATTTCATCTGTTTCCAAAATTGGATATATTAATACATCCCCGGTAAAACCCCAATTTCAAATACATTAACACATCCCCGGTAAGACGCCAAATCTTCAACAATTTCAAACCCTAACATCAAGCTCACATCTTTTTGTCCTTCTTGCTCTCCTAAGATTTTTTTCATCTTCAAATCCATCATTGTAACCCTTTTTTAAATGGTGATCTTTGAGACTGAGGGATGAATCAAAGATGTCATCTTTTGTTGGGTCGCGCATAATTGCTCCTCAAGAATTTCAACAATATAACCTGTACGTAGTCACAATGTTCCACATTGAAAGTAAAACAATTGCCATCTTTATATAACAAGGTAGACGTGCAACTGTCTAAGGGCCGGTTTGGATGCATAATTTAAAAATTTTCTCATCAGAAAACTTAAAATCTTTTATATTGAATTGAAAAAACTTTGCAATTTTCTTTTATTGCATCCATAAACCTTTTTGCTATCCAAAAGAATGTCATCCACAAAATTTACTCAATGTAATGTGCTTGTTTTGGGTACTTCACAAAAAACTTTTTACATGATCTCTTCCATTGAACACCCACTCAGAGACATATCTCGATCCGAGGCATCATGAGAGAGACCATGAAGTGGGGGTTTCAGATTGATTGAACCTGCTAGAGAGAGAATGTGGTTTTGAATTGGGTGACATGGAGAGAGACCAATAGAAATGGGTGAAATAAGAGTTCCCCATGAAGAAACCCCCTTTGTAGATCAAAGATAACGCTTAGACCTGAATGGAAAGGAGGCACGTTAATATGTATATATAATATCTATACTACATTATTAAAATCAGAATTAAGGGGTGGATACATTCTTACTTTTAAGGGAAGAAAGATATTCCTACTTTTTCCATAGAAGTTGTAGGAGATATTCCTACTTTGGGAAGAGAGATAGCGAGGGTAGGGAAAGAGAGTACACGAGACAACGAGATTAACGAAGACGGAGATACTTGCAGTATGGTACTTTGCCCTTATATTTACTATACAAAAAAAATAGATAAAGATCTCATCCCTCCCATATTTATGGGATTATTAGCATGAGTATTAAATTCAACTTCAAAATTAAATAAATAAGGGAAGAGATAGAGGGAGATACTTACTACATCACCAAAATAATATAAGGACACCATTGCTCCCAAATTTACCATATCAACAAAAAATAAATAAATAAGGACTCCCATATTTGGGATTATACTATAGGGAAGCATTATTGAAGGGAGAGAAAAGTGGAGAGAACGAGAGAGTACATGGAGAGAGAATCAATAGAAAAAGATGGTATATATCAAGAGAGAGTACGGAGAGAGAATATATAGACAAAGATGGCAGTTTTTTGAAATCTTAATAGTTTTCAGCCGTTTTTTAAAATCTTAGTAGTTTTTTAACTGGGAACCGACATGTGAGACGATTTTTCTATATTTATAAAGATTACCATTAAATTTGATACCGATTTCTAGAAAAGTTCAGTCTCATACCCATGGGATAACCTTTCTAGATATTTGTATCAAATTTAATAGTGATCATTTGGAGTTCTACATGTGATAACTTTTTTAGATATTTGTGTCAAATTTAATGGTGATCATTTTGAGTCTTACATACGTGGGTGTGGGAGGTCTCATAAGATCATTACTTATATATATACTCTCTTGCAGGACACATTCCTACCTTTTTAAGGGAAGAGAGATAAAAAGGGTATAGAGATAGAGAATAGAGATAAAAAAGGTACAAAAAGAAAAAGAGACATTAATGAAGAGGGCGATTCTTATCTTATATTGTTCCCATATTTATCATATCAACAAAATAAATAAAAATCTCATTACTTTTATATTTATGGGATTATTAGCATGAGCATTAAATCCGACTAAAGATTTCATTACTCTTATATTTATGAGATTATTAGCATGAGCGTTAAATCCAACGTAAAAAAGTAAATAAACCATAAAGGAAGAGAGAATATAAGAGATTATTAACATGAGCGTTAAATCCAACATAAAAAAGTAAATAAACCATAAGGGAAGAGAGAGTGCGCTTAAAAGAAGAGAGAGGAAGATAGATAAAGATCTTTGCTCCCATATTTATTAAATCAAAAAAAAAAAAGGTTAAGGATCTTATGGCTCCCATATTTATGAGATTATAATCCATTGACAAAGGGGCGTGAGGTAGGGCGAGAAACAAAACATGTTTTATTTTTAAGGAAATTCCAGGTTATACAAAACTAGTGCATATCCATATCTTATAGCAAAAGCATATTCCCTTCTCTCCCCTTCATGGTGTCTTTCTCTACATCTTTCTTTTTCTCTCCCCCTCTTCACCTTCTCCTTGGCTTCTATTTGTCCCACCTTTTATATTTTTTTATTACTTAGATATTGTGAATTACTGTAAGATTCAATGATCTATTGTTAGTTTTATGATTTGTTTCAGGTTTTTCATTTAACAAAATTGTTTCAACAGCTTCAATTTAGTTGAGGAACCCCCAACTCCAAAGGTTCACGACGGGTCGCTCTCTTTCTTTCTTTGTTTCTCTCTTTTGTTATTTTTATAGACGGGCATCCGTTCACTATTATGAACCATGGAATCGAGAGTATTATAGTGAGAGAATCACTATTAGAGCATTCTATTGTCAAAATAATCTGATTTTTATGCGATTATTTATATTTGTCTCTTGTTTCATCTCTATATGCAACACACGTAATCCCTAGAGAGAGAAAGCATAATCCCTAGAGAGAGAGCTTTTGTTCAGAGTCTCCAAACTCCACAGATAAAGAATTGGGACGGAATTTGTAATGCCATGTAAATCTAGGCGAAATTTTAGTTCACGCTAGGGAGTGTTTTTTGATAGGGTTTTTGAAGCTATATTTAGAATCATGCGAAAATATTTTCTACTTTCGTGGGAGTATATTATACTCGAAAACGGCTTCTAAATCCATGAAGAAATGAGTCCCTTATTTAAAATCGATTTTTGAGATGGATTTGTTAACCGATTTTTAAAAGCATATAATCTAAAATATAGATTGGAGATCATGATTCTGAAAAATAAATAAATTTTAAAATAATAGTTTTATAAAAACATATTTGAACCGTTAATTGTTATTGTTTTTAGATTTGTCCGACGGTTTTATTATTTGTTAGATGGTTTCTATTTCAAATTGTAAATCCCTATAATCAAGGGATCTCATTTGGCATATATAATTATCTTCTTTTGAATCAATGAAAAAAATATCGATTCTCCTAAACTAACATGGTATCAGAGCGATTCTAAGCCTATCTTGCAAAACCTAACCCTAGCCTTTGTTTTCCTGAGCTTCGTCCATCTGCAAGTCACGTACATGCCCAATCCTCCATAGACGACAATATATGAAGCCAACAAATAAGGATACGTCTCTGCGTGTTCTCTATCTTCTTGTATCATTCTTCCACGCTGTTTTTTTGTTAAACTCTGCAACTTCTAATATTTGTTTTTCTTTCCCTTTATGAAAGAGATCAATAATTGCCTTTCCCTATTGTTTTATTCTCTGCGTACTTGTGTGTGATGGACAAACATGCCCCTCTCTCTCCCACTCTCTCTCTCTAGAAACAGCCGCCCAACATTATAGCGTCTATCTTCTTTTCAGAATGCAGAGTGCATTTGGGCTGGAGCGAAGCTTTTCCTCAAACAGATGTATTGCTTGGTGCAAGAGAAACATTATAAACTGAGTTTTGCATCTTGTGCCATTTCATAAGGAAAAACAGTTTTTTTGGGAGAATCCAATCACCTGCTTCTCCTCCATTACACAATTGCCAACAGCAAACCCCATGCAGAGAACCTTCTTAAGTTGGAATTTGACAATGGCTTTTGTCTCATTCACCTTTGCCTCCAGTCAGAGTGGGAAACTTCCTTGCCTGCTTGAGATCAAGACCCAAAAGCTTTGGGTTTTGCTTGATGACTGTTTATGATGCAAGAAAGGCGTGGTATTTTTTGGCGAGTTTCTTCATCAGCTTCTTATTCTTGTTCATCTTCTTCAACCCTTCCTCTATCTGAGATTTAGAGCAGCGTCGAGAAAAGATAAAGTAGGGTTTTATTGGAGTTTTGGAGTGCCTCTATAGAAATTTGGAGTGCCTTTGTGCCATGTCTCTTC